ACTCGGAGTGCCAGGGTAACCTATCCAGGACATGCTGAGTGTGGGCAAGCATATCTTATATAGAGTGCTGCAGACAGGACTAGGGGGTAGATACCACAGGCCCAGAGATGAACTGCAGGCTTCTGTGAAAGAGAGGCCTCATTAAAGTAGACTAACAAGCTAGAGAGAGCCCCAGATAACGCTGCTACTTGTGGGGGGAAGGGGGGGCTCTAAGGAGACAGCCCTGATAAGGACTGAGGGAGTAACTTGGCAGAAGCCAATTAAGAAGAAGCACCCAGCTTAAAGTGAGAGAGACAGAAAGAGAGGATTGGTTAAGATGGGTCACCTGATTACGAGTATGGTAGCAGCATTCAGAGTGGCACAGCCCTGGGCATGCATGTGGCAGCCCAGGCCAGCAACTCTGCCTGAGAAGGATTGAGCCACTGGGAGCTTATGAACACTGCCCCACCTGGCTCCTTGGGACAGGCAAGTTAGTGGGGCAACAGGTCTCCCACCAGGAAGTGACACTAGATAAGAGGTAGCTTCTTCGATAAAGAGGCAGGAGGAAGGGAACCACTAGAGAACTCTTGCGTCTCATATGTTAGAGTGTTTATTGATTATTAAATACCTACTGTGCATTTTGGAGTATTTACTAACTGTTAACTGTATGCCTTGTATTTTAGAGTGTCCTTTATTGCTGAACTTATCTGTTCATACAGCTTGGGACTATTATGTCTGCCTGTTTGCATTTAGAGGTGTGTGTATATAGTTATATTTATAGGTATGTATAACCTGTAAATACTCACTTTAGTTCACTACTTTTTTTATATACATATATTAAATTTGTACCTGGTTAAGACATCACTTTCTATTCCTCCTCTATTGAGGCATGATAGGTGGGAGGGAATAGCGAGTAGACTGCAGTTTCTACCCCCAGCATGTGTGCCTTGCTGGCTTTCCCCTTTTATTGGTGAGGGGGGACACTCACTTTGGGGACACCTGGGTTACATAAGCAGGATGGAAGAAAGTATGCAAAAGCCAACTTTGTGACCAGGAACAGCCTCCCAGATCATAAGATGCCTGGCAACATCAAAGGTCTAGCAGGCAGGGAAAAAGGGGAGGTGGCAAAGAGGCAGAAGGCATAGTGGGTACAGCTGACCACCAGGAAGCATCAGACTCAGCATCATGGTGCCAAACCTGCTACAGGCCTACCGATACTTGCAGTTGTAAGTTCTGAATCATGATAGCGGTTCTCCTGTGTCTTAGTCTTGTCCACTGTACCTTTTGCTTTCTATGCTCTGTAGTTTCACTTTTTGATATAGTGATAGGTCAAAATCAAAACCCACGTCTAAACTTCCCAGAAATTTGGCCATGAAAAGAGAGCTGAAATATCGATTCAGTTTTGAATTTTTCACATCTGCAAAGGTCAGGCATATCAATTTTCAGATAACAACATGGAGGAAAAAAAATGCCTTGCCTGAAGCAACTTATGTACATTCTTCCCCCACCCCACCGCCACCCGCAACCAAATACAAAGGCTTATTGAGCAATGAAATGTCACTTTGTGATTAAAAAACCCCCTAATGCACAATATAATTCACTCAGTTTTGATCACTCCTGTCACTCTTTTGAGATTCTCTTTGCACAGAATACCTAGAATTTCCACTCTTCTATTGGATGCACTTTCAATATTTTGTATAGCAGGAGTCCCTTCATTAGCTTACAATGATAAGTGAGAGCTACTTTAAACATATCTGAAGAGCTAAATGCCTAAGTCAATGGTTCTCCACTGTCTTAGACACAAAGCACCCCTTGGAAAATATCAGCTCTTAGTTGTTTGTTTGTTTTGGGGGGGTTGGGTTTTTTGTTTTTTGTTTTTTGGGGTTTTTTGACTAATAGAGCAAGTTTTATGTACCAAAGAACTCAAGACCACAAGAAGTCAATAGTTTTTAATAGTATGAAATCCTATTTTATATCTCCAGATTTATCTTAGAATCATAGAAAATTAGGGTTGGAAGGGACCTCAAGAGGTCATTTAGTCCAACCTCCTGCTCAAAGCAGGACCATCCCCAACTAGATCATCTCAGCTAAGGCTTTGTCTAGCTGGGTCTTAAAAATCTCCAAGGATGGAGATTCCACAACCTCTCTGGGTAACATGTTCCAGTGTTTAACTACCCTCCTAGGGAGAGAGTTTTTTTCCTAATACCTAACCTACACTTCCCTTGCTGCAACTTGAGACCATTGTTCCTTGTTCTGTTATCTGCCATCACTGAGAACAGTCTAGCTTCATCATTTTTCAAGCCCCCCTTCAGGTAGTTGAAGGCTGCTATTAAATCCCCTCTCAGTCTTCTTTTCTCCAGACTAAAGAAACACAGTTCCCTCAGCCTCCCCACAGAAGTCATGTGCCCCAGCCCCCTCACCATTTTCATTGCCCTCTACTGGACTCTCCAGTTTGTCCACATCCTTTCTGTAGTAGGGAGCCCAAAACTAGACACAGTATTCCACATGTGGCCTCACCAGCAGTGAATGGAAGGGAATGGATCACTTCCTTTGATCTGCTGGCAATGGTCCTACCAATGCAGGCCAATATACCAGTAGCTTTCTTCACGATAAGGGCCTCATTCAGCTTACTGTCCACTGTAGCCCCCTAAATCTTTTTTTTTTTTTTTTTTGCAGAGCAGCTGCTTCGCCAGTCGGTCCCCAACGTGTGGTGGTGCATGGGATTGTTCCATCTTAAGTGCAGGACTTCACACTTCTACTTATTGAACCTCATGAAATTTCTTTTGGTCCAATCCTCCAATTTGTCTAGGTCTCTCTGAACCTTATCCCTACTCTCCAGCATATCTATCATGCCCCACAGCTTGGTGTCATTTGCAAATTTGCTAAGGGTGCACTCTATGTCATCTTCTAGGTCGTTGATGAAAATACTGAACACAACCAGCCCCAGGAACAACCCCTGAGGCACTCTACTTGATACCAGCTGCCAACTAGACATGGAGTCATTAACTACTACCTCCAAGCCTAATAATCCAGCCAGTTTTCTATTTCTATCCATTTTACAGTCCATTCATCCAAACCATAATTCCTTAGTTTGCTTGCAAGAATGTTTTGGGAGACCATATCAAAAGCCTTGCTAAAGTCAAGGTATATTGCATTCACATAGCAAGTCATCTCATCATAGAAAGCAATCAGGTTGGTCAGGCATGACTTGTCTTTGGTGAATCCATGCTGACTGTTCCTAATCACCTTCTTCTCCTCCAAGTGCTTAAAAATAGATTCCTTGAGGACCTGGTCCATGATTTTTCCAGTACCTGAAGTAAGGCTAGCTAGTCTATCCTTCTGCAGATCCTCCTCCTTCCTTCTCTTAAAAAGACGGGCACTATATTTGCCCTTTCCAGTCATCCAAGACCTCGCCCGAATTACCATGAATTTTCAAAATGATGGCCAGTGGCTTTGCAATCACATCAGCCAACTCCCTCAGCACCCTTGGGTGCATCCCATCTGGCCCCATGGACTTGTACACAGCCAGCTTCTCTAAATAATTTCCAACCTGTTGTTTTGCCATTGTTGGCTGCTCGCCTCCTTCCCAAACTATGCTGCCAGATACAGTAGTCTGGGAGCTGACCTGGCCTGTGAAGACTGAAGTGAAAAAGGTATTGAGTACTTCAGGCTTTTCCACATCCTCTGTCACTAGGGTGCCTCTACCACTTAGTAAAGGACCTACACTTTCCCTAATACTCCTTGTTGCTAACATACTTGTAGAACCCTTCTTGTTACCCTTCATATTCCTTGATAGCTGCAACTCCAATTGCACTTTGGCCTTCCTGACTTCATCCCTGCATGCCCAAGCAATACAACGTTCTGCTTCTTATGCTTCCTTTTTGTGTTTTAGCTTACTGAACAGTTCCCTACTAAGCCAAACTGATCATCTGCCATACTTGTTAGTCTTCCTGCACATCAGGATGGTTTGTTTCTACAACCTCAGTAAGGTTTCTTTAAAGTATCTTTAATCCTGTGAATCTTGTTTGCACACCTAATAGTACTAATATTATGCAGCAGCCAGGAGTACCTTTAAAGGGATCTCATGTTGTGCCACAGCACCCTGGTTGAGAATAAATGGCCTGTGTACTTCATTTTGCAGATAAGCAAGTTAGATTTGGGTTAATCTGGTTTAGCACAGACACAAATTAACACTTTCTACCTTGATTTAAGTGGTTGTTAACCTGCATCTCAACTTGGTAAAAAGTCTCTGGGTAACCATAGTTAGGGTAGCTGTGTATTAGCGAACCTCAAACTGCTCCCAGTAGTGTAGGATAATACAGTGCTGAAGAAAGCAAAGTGGCTGTAAAGTTAGTGCCTAAGCATGCATAAATGAAAGAAAACAGGAGAAAGATGTAGTTCTCCATTGTGGGGACTGCCCTGGGAATTATCATCAGTGGACAGAGTATTGGACTACGAATCAAGAGACCCTGTTTCTATTCTGACTTGCTCTCTGAACAGTGGGCACTTCTCTGCTACAGTTAGTTGTCTTGTCTGTAAATGAGGGTGGCCCAATTTGTTGGTTCTGCAGTGGAAAGGGTACAACAGTTACTTCATCTAGGGCAGGGGTAGACAAAATGCAGCCTGCGGGCTGGATGCAGCCCGCCAGGCCATTCTATCTGGCCTGCAGGGCCCCTAAAATAATTTAGAAAATTAATATTTATCTGCCCCTGGCTGCCTGTCATGTGGCCCTCGATGGCTTGCCAAAACTCAGTAAGTGGCCCTCCGCCCAAAAATAATTGCCCATCCCGATCGAGGGCTTCAACACACATATTGATTTTTTTTTTTTGAGGGAGGGGGAGAGGGGGGGTCATGGTCCATTATTACAGCAGGATTCATGTTAGGTCAAGAGTGGACAAAATATGGCACATGGGCCAGATCTGGCCCACCAACTGATTGGATCCAGCCTGTGGGCAGCTGTCCACCAGTTGATTGCATCTGGCCCATGGCTGCCCCTGCAGCACTCTGCATGGGGCTAGGACCCACCCTCACCCACCTGGGTCAGCCAGTGCTGTGTCCCCACCTGCACGCACTGATGGCCCCAACCAGTATGCACAGCTTTCCAGCAGAGATGCTCCCAGTACAGCTGCAGTCACCAGGGTACTGTTTGCCTCTCGCTGCCTCCAGCAGCTTCTCCTCCTCCTGACCCTGCTGTGCCGCTCTGGGCAGCAGGTAATACAGGGAAGCCATGGGGCACGAAATGCCCAGCCAAGCAGTGGAGAAGGTGTAGCCAAGTGCCTCCTGTTCATGGAGCTATAGCTCCAGTTCCCAGCCACTTCCCAGCAGGTGGGTGGAGAGTGGCTGGGAGCTAAGAACTGGAGCCCCATCATGCTGGGGCAGGAGCCACCCAGCTGCAGCTTTCCCTCTGCCTGGCTGAGCATCTACTGCCCAGTATACATCCCCACAGCCACCATTGTTTCTCTGCAGTACACGCTGCTAACAGCAGTGCAACAGAGGCAGGACGAGCTGTTGGAGGCAGAGCGAGTAGAGCAGTACCTGGGCAGCTGCAGAAGCAGCCCTGCCATGAAGCTGTACATGCCGGCCAGGGCCAAAGCAGCGCTGTCTGGCAGGTATGGGGTGGGTGCAGGTGGGAATATGGCACAGGCTGCCCCAGGTGGGGTTCAGCCTCATGCAGAGTGTTACAGGGGGCAGCCACGAGCCAGACTGGGGGAGGGGAGGGGAAGGAAAGGAAACACAGTGCAGCGCACCACCCGAGTGAGCTCTGCTGCACACAACCCCTGCCCCCACCTCTACTCCCCCCACTGGCTGCCAGGACCTAACGCATGGCCACCCCTCCCCCCCACACACCCTACCCTCTCCCACAGTATGCAAAAGTAAGCCTTTATTTTGAGCTATTATGCAATTGCCTCTACATACGCTACTCAAAAAAACATAAAAATCAAAACAAAACTTTTTGTTTTTAAGTAAAATTAAAATGTTGTAGTAGATGTTGATTTTTAGTATATGATTTGCTTTTTTTATCTATAATTTGTTAAAATTATATCTTCTGAAAGATGTTGTGTGCAGCCCTTGACAGCTCACCAAAACTTAAGTGGTCCTCCAGCCAAACTAAATGCCCACCCTGGATTAGGCACTAATATTTACATCTATACCTGCTGCCTTTGAACTGACTTTCTCTGTGCCTTATGAGATCCATCAGAAAAATGAAATGTTTCCAAGTTTAGTTAACACCATCAATGCCCTTTGAAGTTCTCAGAGGAAAGATGACAAATAAATAAAAAGATAAACCCTAGCTAGCTATGCAAGCACTGAAAGAGGGTTAGCTAAAACAAACAAACCACATCCTATAACTATCACTTGCAATAAGTGCAATCTTCCTCAAAGCACTGGATATTTATGCATATCTTGTGATGAGAGGGAGGCCTCCTCGTCCTCCCTGGTAATTACATTCTTCAGTGAAAATCATTATGAGATCAAATTTCATTGGAAAGAAGCTACACAGACATTTTTCCTGGACAGGACAGGATGATACTACTCACTAAGTTATGTTCAGCTAGAAGCAACTAAAATGCAAACCCCAAAACTGTTAGGAAAGAAAAAAGCAGGCTTTCCTTCTTTGTTTTTCTTTTACAGCATTCCTGGCCAGTAGCATCGAACTTCAAACAGCCTCTCTTTGTGTCAGTTTTTCTGTAACCAACAGCCTGCTTGTTTTGGTGGACATGCTTTACACTAGTTTTAAATCAAGCAGCAGTTAAAAGGAAGCAGCTTGGTTTTTACCAGCATCACCTCACTTTACCCTGTCAATCCTTTCTTCTTTCCTTCTTATAAAGCCACTTCCTTACATAGATTCATGAGGAAAAGTCTGAGTAAACACTTAGTTCTCTCAGCCTTGTGGCATCTTTAAGGCTCACTCCAGTGAGTTACACTTGACACTTCCGACATTATTCTCGACATATAGCAAATTCATCATGGCCTTTCTGTAATATAGATTATGTTTAAAGTTAGATTTCTTTTGGATTCCAAACAAAAATAACTGACTTCTCTCAGAGTAGAGATCTCAAAAACAAACAGAAGAACTATTCAAGCTTGGAAACCTAAGTCAGCAGGTGAACTGAATACACTATTCTTTACTAAATAAGAAAGTACCTAGTTTTCCACAGTATAAAAAACAAAGTGGAATTAGGTAGTATTGGGGTGATGTTGTAGCTATGGTGGTCCAGGAAGTGTGTGAGGCCAGGATTTTTATGAGTGGTACTAGCCAATTGCCTGTTAAGAATGACGGGGGGGGGGCAGGGGCAGGGGCAGAGGCCCATGTCCTGCCCCCACCCCCCTCTGTGCTTTGGGCCC